CTGGACTTGCACATATCGATCGTTAATTTACAACTATTCACAGCTATACAACAATATATTGAAGGAATATTATGATACCGAGTTCCAAAAGTTTAAGGATCCATGACATAGGACAGAATCTTGACCACCCAGAGTTCGTGATATGATAGATAAGATCTTTTTAATTTAATCGGAGGTCTCAGTTCGAATCTCGAGAATGAGAAAAGGAATTTCTTTAAAAGTCTTACACGGCACGATCCGAATTAATCAGAGGTCTCACAGCGAGCATCGGACATTAGAAGAAAACCAAAAAAAAAAAAAAAAAACCAAAAAAAAAAAAAAAAAGTGTCCCTAATTGTCCCTTGTATATATTAGCCTATTAAAAATAAGGAATGTTCTCTTTTGGATTCTCAAAAGGAAATTAACATCGGGAGTTTGGAAAATCCGAGGTTATTGTTCATACGTCTTTCTGGGAAAACGTAATGTTGTAAGATGAGACTTACAAGGAGCCAATTTTTCTATGTTAGCAAAAGCCGCCCAATGACTATATTGTATTGAAAGAAAATAATTAAGTGTAATAAATTTAAAAATAATATGTAGAAAAGGAAGAAAAATATTCAAATTAGTTTGTGCCCTTTGAAAACCAACGAGTAATATTGCATTATGTGTAAACACTTTCGTCATTCCAATAATATAGCTTTCAGTTGCACGTTGAAAGCGATGTTGGAGAAGACTTAGACCTATAACGTCTATTACCGTTCAAACCTAATCATTTTCAGTAGCATTATTATACTTAATGTGGTCTTGCTTTAAGGAGGAGGGGAAGGATCAAAGGAATAAAAAGAATGGAAGAAAATAAAAGTTATTTTTTGGTTGAGATTTGTAATTTATATATGTTTTCTTAAGTGTCACCTAATGATATTGTCCAATAAAAGACTCTTGTATTTGATCTCTACGTTTGAACTATACAATTAACTGTATATAAAGTATATTATCTATTACATTTTCAGTATTTTTTTGTTGGTAAATAATACACTTCTATATATTATTTTGACAAAACTCAATGTTATGCTGATATATTCCACAAATATATAGATTAATAGGTAGATTTTTGATAGAATAATTAGTCATTGCTATTACACTTTTTTATCTAGGAGTCCAAGTAAGACCTGGTAAAGGTCAATGGAAACCACAACGTACAATAAGTTCCAACAGGAATTTAAGGAGAGAATATATGTATTTGCTTATGCACTTTGAACGTTTTAGTTAATTTTATTACATCTCTTAAATTTGGAAACCTTGTGGATATTGTAATGCAATAACTATAAAGAGTTTTTAAGTTGAAAAGATACTATTTTGAATAATACCACATCTGAAGATGGTTCATTAGAATAATCAAACTCATGTTTAATTTCATTCTCTTCTTTTCTTTTTCTCCCCTTGATTTTGTCATTTTAGATGAGGAGCGGCCTAGAGTTGGTAATTAAACATATGGTTGATGTCCTAATTCTGCTTTACAATTTCTAATTATCTTGCTTGTTAGACAAGACAGAAAATCAAAGTGTTAAGAGAATGACATCTCTAAGATTATGTCAAAATCATCTAGCTAATTTGGTCAACAAATGAATAGAAATCTTCAACTAATACTTAGAATATTCTCATTCAAACTAGTATTTAGGTTAGAATTTTGTATATTATTGATTTTGTAGGTGTCTGGCTTCGTTCGTTAATCCCACTTCATTTGGAACTTTTATATAGTTGAGGAAGCAAAGAAACTACTAACAAAAAGAAAAAAGAAAAACTCTCATATTTCCTCGAGATTATATTATTATGAATTACTTCTCAACTTCTATTTTTGAATACACAAACTCGTGTATCCTTAATCTTCTAGTACTCATTCTATAATCACCTCAAAATTGTTAGAGAATTAACTGCTATATACACTCTTACAAATCATCTAAAAGTTACATATAATTGTGCGTAATAGTTAAGTAGCATCGTGTAATTCATTTTCTTATTATCATCTAATACATGAATTTTCTTTTCGGTCTATGTGTTTAATCTTTTTTTTTATCCAATTTTTTTATTGCTTAAAATAATAGGATTACCAAATACAGTGGTTCAACCACCAGTTACATTCATGAAAAGTCAGAATCTCAATAGAAAAGGCGAACACGAAAGAATCTTCGTAGCTTTCTTTCAAACTATTTTCTTGTACATTGATCTTATCTCTATTAACCAACAAAACTTCCTCCTTTTTGTTGTTCTCATATAACACAACAACAAATACTACTATAAAATTAAAACATACAACCCATTAAACAATTATACTAGTACTAATATTTTTCATGTCATATATAAATGATTAAACATACCCTTACTTCTAATAAATCCCTCTCAATCTCTTTGTAAATCCAACAGAAAAAACTAACTCCATGTCTCCGTTTCCAAGTTATTATTACACTTTTGCTCTATTCATTCTCCTCCTTTCACTTCCTTCTTTTCCCGCCAGAATCCTAAAACACGATCCTTTAACTGAATTAACCGCCGATATTCAAAACAACACGTGGCACGCTTTCGTTAAATTCCTCGACGCCGGAAAAGGCAGTGAACTCCCCGGCATGTCGGAGCTCAAAAAATACTTCCAACGCTTTGGCTATCTGACTAATATTCCCGATCATAATTTCACCGATTTTTTCGACGAAGACTTAGAGTCTGCAGTACTCAATTACCAAAAAAACCTCGGATTAACAGTCACCGGAAAATTAGACGACGAAACGATGAACGAAATTATGTTGCCGCGTTGTGGGATGAGTGATTCAGCTCATGAACACGATCACAGCTCGTTACATACAACGAGAAATTACGCGTATTTTTACGGGCGACCTAGGTGGATGAAGTCATCGCCGATGATTTTATCGTACGCTTTCTCTGAAAATTACATGATTGATTATATAGATATCTCGGAGATTAAATCGGCTTTTAAAAGAGCGTTTTCGCGGTGGTCGTCAGCGATTCCGGTGAATTTCACGGAGGCGGAGGATTACTACAAGGCGGATATTAAAATCGGGTTTTTTAGAGGCGATCACGGCGACGGAGAGCCGTTTGACGGAGTGTTGGGAGTGTTAGCTCACGCTTTCTCGCCGGAAAATGGGAGGTTTCATTTAGACGCAGCGGAAACGTGGGCCGTTGATTTTGATGAAGAGAGGTCGAGAGTTGCCGTTGATTTGGAATCAGTGGCGACCCATGAGATTGGGCATGTACTTGGGCTGGCTCATTCTTCGGTTAAAGATGCTGTTATGTACCCAAGTTTAAGCCCAAGAATGAAGAAAAGGGACTTGAAGCTAGATGACGTGGAAGGGGTCCAAGCTTTATATGGGTCAAACCCGAATTTCAAATACACGTCATCGTTGGAACATGACACGTCAGCATCAAGTTGGAGAACGTCATCAAAGTGGACCACTTTTTTTGGCTTGGTGGCTTTGATCTTTTCCTTATGTTTATGATTGCTTATGTTTTTTTAGTTTATTTTTATTTTTTTTGGATGTTGTAAAGATATTTTACACAGAAAAAGGAAGTAAAGAACATTCTTTAAAGATGGAGTAGAGGTCATATTCTTTGTGAATTATTCTTGTTGACTTGTGTTGAAACAGAGAAGGAAGATAAAAGAGTCAAAGAAGAATTAAAAGATGGGTTACTTTGTGACCTTAGTGGGAAGTTTTGGTTTTCTTTTTTTCAACTTTACTTTCTTATGGAGTTAAAACTTTGAAACCTAATGGAGGTTTTCTGTATTTAGTGGGAAATTAGTGGGGAACATGACAGTTTTTAATGGTAATTTCAAGATTAGGTTAGTTGGAAAGCAGGAAAAAAAAATCTAATTTCAAAATGAGCGTGAGGATATGAACTTCCAATGTTAATGGAGTACTAGTTGCTTATTTGTTTAGGGAGATAAGATGGTTTCTACTTAATATAACCAAAAACTATGGTAGGAGATGTATATTGAATGAATTTACTATCTTGAAATTGACAAATTATAATATAGATTCATACTACTTTCATATTCCATTTTGTGTCACACTATTACTATGGAAAGAGACATATTTTTCAAACGTTTAAGCAAATTTTTAGTTGTACAAATTTGTGATCTATGGTGTTTCTTGTATAATTTCTAGAAATGTGATTCTTATTTAAAAGATATATTATAGTGTGATATATGGTGTTTCTTATGTAGTTCTAGGATTTTTACTTTTTATTTTAAAAAAATCAAGACATCAATGTTTAAATTTACCAACAAATAGATAATTTGACTCTCATATTCGAACTATATATATGCCGATTAAGTTGATTCCGACGTTCCTTGATTAATACCAAATCGAATCAAATATATTCGACTTTTTAGTCGGCTTGGTTTGGATGTTCAGTTTAATTGGATTAATCGATTTGGTTTGAACATCCCTAAATTGTTACGTTCATTTCATTTTGTTTGTTGTAGTTTGACATGCACAAAGTTTAATAAGAAAATATTTTTTTTTAAAACTTGCGGTATTAAATATTTTATAATATTTGTGTGAGTATAAAACTTTTGAAATTTGTGACGCTAAATATGTCATAACATTTGTGTAGTTATAAAAACTTTTCATTGTCATTTTTTTTGGAACAAACTAATAAAGAAATATCAAATAAAACGGACCGGAATAAGTACTTCTAATTGTGACGTTGATTCTTCTTAATGTTCATTTCCAACCTCTCTTTCTTTGAGACATTTGACAAAAACAACTCAACAAAAACGTTAAAAAGTGAGGTATTCGAGAAAAATGCTTAGTAGAATTGAAAGGTGATCTAAGTTTTGCTTTTGATTTCCCGTACTACAATTGGATTTATTCAGTTGAATTTTAAAAAATCTGCTTTCTTCAACCTAGTGGTAAAGTTTACATAAAATTCCTAACAAATAAAGGACTGATGTTTGACTTTTAAAAACATGTGTGCCTTACATGTAATTGACCCAAATAAGTTGGGCTATCACAATTTACAAATGCACATGCAGTCGGGTCCGATCCGACTAATTTGGACGCTAAAACCCTAAACCCTATCAACCTTGTCCAATATCCCCAAGATCTTCTCTTTGCTCAAACTTTCTTACAATTCTACAATGGCGTCAAGGTGTAGTAGAATTATCAATAGGGCTTCAATTTCTTCTATCAGATCCGCCATTAAATCCAATTCCCAATCAGCTTCTTCTTCACAGTCGTTTCCCAGTTTCTCTGCCTCAACCAGATCTACATCGTCCCCTCTCCGTCGGTTCTCTTTTTCAAGGTATTTTTCGTTTGCCCCAACGTCTATTGTTTGTTAATTTGTTTTTTATATTTGTACTATTCGGGTTTGCAGAATTCCGTCGGAACTGGGAGGGTTGCAGTCAATGTTGCCGCTACACAACGCAGTTGCTACGGCGAGGATGACGTCATGCCTGAGCTCAACATCGAGGAGTTGCAGAGCTCTTTCACAGGGTACTCTCTGCTGCACCTCTCCAGACCTCTAGCATGTTCCATTTATAACTACCCCAAATTAAAATAAAAACAAGTATGTGCTTGTTCTTACTGTTTGTTGTACATGTTTGCTATTTTTTCATTTTTTCTTTTATCGTGCTATCTGTTTCATCTTCTAGATATTATAATTGGAGATTAAATTGAATTCTTTCCCGGGAGAAGGGGGGAACTTCTTAAATATTTAAATCACTAATAACTGATGCTAGCAAAAGGAATTTTGATACGGAAGTCATTTCTAGAATCAGTAATTACTAAATCACAATAATTACTAAATCAATTACAATAGCTAGCAATTTAAAATGGAATTCTTTCCGGGGAGAAGGGGAACTCCTTAAATATTTAGATAACTAAATTCTGCTAATGGCAAATGGAACTTCGATATCTGAGACATTCCATAGTATTTCAGAGTTACTAAAACAACTACTGTACAACATTTTTGATCAAGACTTCAACAACTACAACAGCTAGCAGTCATTAGTCAAAACCACTTTCCTTATGAATACTATATCCAAATGGTAGAAAATAGTTGCATAGCTGTAGGCTACCGAAGAATGGTACACCAGTATGATTATTAATTTGAATGTGCACAACCATATGACATCAATTACATATACCAATCAGAATTCGAGTTAGTGTTGCACAGTCTTGAATTGGCTAGATGACTGTCTAATCTTCCTTTTACTGAAACATGTAGAGTGATCTTATGATGTTTGTGAGATTTGTTTAATATTTTTGCCTATTCTGGTGCTTTTTTCCTACTTCTCATATTTCAATGTGCCAGTGTTATTTAGGTAATTAGATCTACCTACATTCTTTGACCAGTAGCTCTGCCTACACTTTTTTGTCGGAAGTAGCTCTACCTACACCTTGCACCAGCTTAGATATGGTGCTTCTGTTTCTTGCATTTTGTGTTAAGGACTGGACATATTTATGAGGAGAGGGGGCAGAAAAGCTCTTCTTGATTGACTTCCCTCCTCCCTTTCCTTTTTTCAACAAACTGTATGGGAGAGTGTCTCCTATTGAGAAGAAATTGCAGAGTAATATGGTATATCATCCTTGCCTTACTAGCTTCTTCTAGGCTTCTACATAGGATGAGGCAGAAGTACCATAGAACTTGTATCGCTTTCGCAGGTTATTTATAGTGAGTAGTGACTAACAACAGCAATGGATTCACCTCAATAATGCTCTACCTTATTACTTGTACTCTAGAAAAAGAGAGAAATCTGAAAGGCATTTTTTTAACATGAATGGAAAACCAACAAATTAAAAGTGAGATGGTGAAACCTATTGTATCTATACATCTATGAACAGAACGTATGGTTGTGCAGCTGTGGTTTTCTTTTTCTTGGGCAGGAAACTGGATACCTTTTCTTTATTGCATTTTGAAAATTATGTTACTACATATCTCTTAAAAAGATTTTTTTGGGTGTAACAGAATAGCTAATAATTTGTATTCGTCGTTAAACTCCTACTTTATTCACAGCTTTACTCTGGAAACTCTATTAATATTCATGCAAGTAGTAACTGGGTTTGATTCGGTTGTCTATAATTCTACATTTTTTTTTCTGCTGTCTTTTCTTAAATTACCCATATTTTTTGTTTCCTCGTTTGGGAGGGTTGTGGTGGTGGACTGGTTGTAAAGGGTATGTAATGGGATTCTTGGAACATAGGGGCTTCTCTTGATGAACCATTAAAGCTCTAAAGGTTACTGGGTTAGCATGGTTACTCCTATGAAGCAATTGCAGTCTAAGTTGGTTTGGGCTGGAACTTCTCGCTCCTAAAATGAACCAAATATAAATCTTCTCATGCTTGTTCTTCTCTATATTATACCGGAACTCCATACAAAAAAAGTTTTTGAATCTCTTAAACACCCTTCCTAATAACCAAAGTGGGCATATATTTTGAGGTGGAAGGTTTTGATCAGCTATCTGACCGGAATATTTGGTTCCTGCAGGCACATGAATTTCCAAAAGCATGAAAGAAATATACTGGGATATCACAGGCCTTTCTATTTTGCTTAAGTGCGTTCCTATCTTAGCACCAAGTTTTATCAGCAGTTTTAAGAAAACAATTAATGAGTAGGATGGAAGCGAATTGTGCTTAGGGCTGCCATTTTTCTTTTCGAAACCTTCACATGCAATTACTGAATGTAAAAACATAAATTTAAAAGCTTTCAGAATGAATAACATTTTATTATCTTGTCGTTGATAATGTCATTTTACCTAATTCTAATCGTAGCACTTTGGGTTATCTGACAAACTGTGTTTCTGCTTCTTACCATTTAGAAAAGGTTCATTTGATGGGTAATGCCCCGAGATTATGTTTTTGAGAGTTCCTTACTTTCAAGTGATTCCAAAGTTTAAGATTCACACTGCAAAATGAAAGCTTATAATCATACCTAAATTCATCTATTAGTCGAAGGATTTTCCTATATTTCAAGCATCTTCCCGGGGCTCTGTAGGGGATCAGAGCGAGGGAGATACTGTATGGGCTGATGTTTCAGTCTTGTGGCGAGAGTGTTTAACATTATTAGGGACTTTTTAGGCCATTCTTAGGGTAAAAGAATGATGGGTTCAGCAATACATAATGAAGTAATTAATCTTATTTGTAGAGCCGACCCCAATTTGCTTGGGATTGAGGAGTAGTTTTTCTTTCATGCTTTCATCCACTATTTTCCTTTCTGTGGTTTGCTCTTCCTTTTGATTTGTTTGAGAAGGTTTGAAGGTACTTTCAGGTCATAACAATTCCATATGTCCACATCTTAAATACACACTTCTAAGTCAATGTCAGCTCTAGAAATGCTCCCAAGAATTATAGCAATCTTGTCTATGAGAATGGTCTCATTGTTCTTTAAGAAATCCAAGATACAGGTCTATAATGAATTCAAACAGTCTAGTTTTATCTTTGAAAGTCCTGCTATGATTGTTAGACATAGGTGGAGCCTGTTAGGAGACCACAAGAAGCAGATTTAAAAGTATTACTGATTAATCTTTAACAATTTCCATTCATTTTGACTTTCAAATAATGTATCTGTTTATAACTTATAGCGCAAATAATTTAAAATCCCTAGACCCATTGATCTGGTGAGTGAAACTTTGATCGTTCTTGGTGGGTTTAGGAAAGTGAGAACGCGTAACTGTTTCCGTTTAAACTGTTCAAGACAAAGTATCAGCTAAGAGGCGACAGTTCTGACTGTCACCTCCAGGTTTCTGTCGAAAAGAAAAGAAAAGAAAAAAAGAACCTCCAAGGGTCTGTTTGTCATAAAATAATTTTCTGACTTCAACTGTTTTTATGCTTAGCTATTATGCCCCTATTTGACAAAGCCTATTTTGGTAACAAGAATTTTCGTTTTCCCAGATAATACTGAAGGAACGTGAAATTTTTTGCTCTTCAGGAGGAGGTTGTATCTGCTTGAATTTAGCTACAACAATTTTGCCTTGGTTTTAACCATATTTTCAGACATATCATCTGTTTATTGTAGAGAAAGATAAATCAGAGTTGAGCCTCCCCTTTTCTTTTCAAATACTTGAATGCAAATTTATCTTGTATGTAATGCGGTAGGTTAAGTTTTTTCTTTTGTTGGCAAGTGTATCTGCAGTAAAATGTATTTGACTGATTTAAGGAACCTAAGCTAACGTAGTCTTGATTTTTGTTTTTCTACTTTGCCTCTGAATATTTCTCCTGATATGAGTCTTTTGTTGTTTGTGGCAATAGAGCTGGGTCTCTCGGTACCAAGGTGACTTTGTTTAGCAGATTGTCAAAGAAAGTTGTCAACTCTTTGAATGGGAAGGCAAGATTTTGTCCTAGGAAAGACATTTATGTTTAATGACTGCTCAAACTTTACAAAAGTGGTAATAGTATTTGAATGTATTGAATTTTCAGCTGGTTTTGCTGTTAATTCTGATTTCTGATTCCTTGATTACTTGGAATATTACTATGGAATAATCCTTATTTCCTTCTTTCCTTTTTGGGCCAATTTGTTATACTGAGAATGGAAGAGGTTGGAGTTTTATAACGATTAATGAGTGCGTTTTGTTTTTCCATAATTTCTTATTTTTTTGGCCTATTTGTTAGACTGAGAAGTTGAACAACGAAGGCATTCTGCCACTTATTTTGTGGCTGTAATAAGTGATTTTTTTTTTTTTTTTTTTGGTCAAATGAAAAATTTTATTTAACAAATAGAACACGATATGTTTTTATTATTATCAATGCGTCAACGGCAAAGAACAAACATGCATGCGTACAATGTAGTCAAACGGTCAATAAAGTGGAAGAAAATCATAGTAAATCAAAATTCAAATTATAATGAAGGCAAAAATAGTAGGGAAAATACTATTGTATAGCTACTCTTAAAATAATAGTCGAAAAATATATATTTTTTGTATATATATACATTTTGTATGTTATATACAAAAATTATACAAAATTTATATTTTTTCGGCTACCGAATGTAAATAGTTTCTAATACGGACTAAAAGTGATAATACTCAAATAGTAAGTTGAGGCAAAAGGAGGAAACATCAAACAATTAGGACCCGTTTGGCCATAGATTTTGTCAAAATATATTTGGATTTGTTTTGGCAAATACATGTTTGTTCATAATTTTATCCATATTTTGACAAATTCCCAAATCCCAATTGATTTTGGCCCAAAATATTACTATTATATTTTTTAAAAATTGTCCCAAACTTTTGTATTTTATAAAAAAGCCCACAATTTATTATTTTGTAACAATGCTGCTTCGTCTTCTCGGTCATCTGATAGTGTATTATGTTATTCATTTTAAAAATAATAATTTTGTACTAAATTTATTTATGTTCAGGACTATGGTTTGCGATAATATAATAAATATTATTGATGAAGGTACTATTGGGTATTTGTGATAGTTTTTAGAACTTGTGGGTGAAAAAAAAGTGGAATATGTTTTGAAAACTGGTGTCCAAACACATTTTCATCTTCAAACCAAATTTTACCCAAATCAAAATTTTCAAAACAAATTTGGAAATTTATGGCCAAACGCTAGCTTAGTTTGTAGCTTTACTCCCCCCAATAATAGTTCAAAAAAGAGGCTATTTGCATTATACAGATACCTTCCCAACATAATAAAAAAGTACTTTCCGTTGTCCTCAAGCATGATTAGATCAGGCATCTCATCTTCTAAACCAAATCATGGCAACATAAGCTAACATTTCCCAGTATAGTTGTAGCACTTCCACTTGTCAACCAAGTAGTAATAATGGACAGAACGAGTATTCACTCTTTCTCCTCAGTAGGTTAGTGCTTCTGTTGTAAGTGTTGATTCATAAACGCAACAATGAAGTTGGCAAACAGCCATCCCCAATTTAGCCGTCCAACATTTTCATCTTCATCTTCACTGTTTAAATAATCTACCTACATCCTATTGTCCGTAGAAGTTCAAGGTTGTAGGTCATTTTCGTTTTTTGCATTTGTATTTAGGTCATCGAGTGTTTCAATTTGTGACCAAACAAGGACAAGCTTACTTACTTTTCGAGCGATAGTCCCATGATCCAACTCCAACCAGCTTCTTTTCTCACTTTTCTCTCCTTCATCTGCTCCCTCGTGCCACCAACATCTATCCACTTCCTATGCAATGCATACATATTAGACATTAGTACATAGACAAACTCGTTATCACCTTCCAATTCTATCACCTTCGCAGCTGCAACTTCTGCTATTTTTATATCCCCACAAGTGACAGAAGCACCTAGTAATGCTTTCCAAACTAATCCACAGTTTTCAAATCCCAGTTCATAAATCATTTTCTCGGCCTTACTCACATCCCCTTCTTGTCCCATGAGCTTAATCATCGAAGAACAGTGTTCCGGCATGGGACATATCTCATACTGCTTGACCATCAATTTGAAATACTCATTTGCAGCTTGCAGAGACATTTTATTATGCCAACATGCAGCTAAGACATTCACGAAAGTAATACCATCTGGTTGTAAATCTTTCACCAATTTCAACTGCTCAAATAGCCGGATCACTTCATCTGAATTACCATTATGAGCATATCCAGATATAATCGTGTTCCACGTTATCAGATTCTTCACAGGGAGAGATTCAAACAGAATTTCAGCTTCCTTCATTAGCCCACATTTAGAATACATGTCAATGAGAGCAGTTCCAACAACAACAGTCTCATTCACGCCGTACTTAATTGTGCAACAATGGATCAACCTTCCCCATGTTACAGCTGATATGTTGGCAATGCCACTTAATATACTTGAAAAGGTGAATTGATCCATAAGAACATTATTGCGATGCATGTTTTGGAAAAAATGTAGAGCTTCTTTTGCTCTGCCTCGGTTGACATATCCTGTTATTATCGAATTCCATGAGGATGAATTTGGGGTTGGCATTCTTGATAACATTTCAACAGCATCTTCTATGTTACCAAACTGTGCCATGCCACTAATTACCTCATTGTATGAAACAGTATCAGGTTCAGGCATTTGATGCAAGAAATCAAATGCCTGTTCAAGCCTGTTGTTTCTTGTATTTGCCGCTATGACAGAATTCCAAGAAATAGTGTCCTTCTCCATCATACTATTAAAAACATTAGTTGATTCTTCGGTAGAGCCACATTTTCCATACATGTCAATCAAAGAATTGCAGACCACAATGCTGCACTCAACACCAAATTTCACAATCTTAGCATGTAATAACCTTCCAACTAGTCGTAAACCAAGCGGTCCGCATGCTGATAAAGCAGCTGTAAAAGAGTACGAATCAGAACAAAGTTCCGATCTTTCGAGCTGAATAAACAAGTTCAGAGCAGCAGTGAACTGCCCAGATCGAACATACCCAAAAATCAACGTATTCCAAGAAACTACATTTGGTTCAGTCATTTCCTCAAACAACTGGTGAGCCTTATTCAAAAGCTGAGACTTGACATAGAAATTGACCAAAGCTGTAGTAACAAAGACATTGATGTCATACCCAGATTTTAGAATGCAACAGTGAAGTTGTTCACCAGGTGAAAACCAACCCAGATTGGTACATGCACGGGTCAAGTGAACCAGAGAATAAGCATTAGGCTTGGAACCAGAATTCAACATTTGAAAGTCCTTGAACAGGGCAATTTCAGAACTAAGGCCAGTTTGTGACTGATTGGAAATAAAAACGATTCTTGAATTAAAGTCATCTTCTAGATGGGGTTTGATAGTGCTGCTAATGGACTTGGAGAAGAAACAATATAGTTGCCTTTTGCTTAGTAGTTGGATAGAGCATTTCTTGACTAGTTCATAGTTGATGAATCTTGGCATTGCTTTGTATGCATAATAACCCCAACCCCCTCCCGCTTCTCTCCCTACCCCACCTCTCCCACCCGTCGGTCCAAAAGGTTTTTTTTATTAAAAAATTCAGTTTTTTCTTTCTTTTCCGTAACTACCCACCCTGCTATCCACTCCAGCGCAACCCCCTTGCCCCCCTCCACTTACTTTTTTATTATTATTATATATTTTTAATTTTCTGTTTTTTTATTTTTCTGCACCACCCACCCCGCGATAATTTTTTTATTTTATTTTATATATATTTTCAGTTCTGGTTTTTTTATTTTTCAATTTACAGGTTCGAAATTTTACGAGTTCCAAAGTTATGAGTTCAGAGGTTTATGTATTTAGAAATTTGTGGGTTTAGAAATTATAGAGTGATGTTTGGCTATAATTATATATTTTTAGTGCATTACTTACCTTACATTTTGGGGCTTTAATGTTAAATTGTACTATATTTGTGCTTAATTGAGTTTAATTTATGTGTAGGTAGTTTGTGTTGCGGAAGCCAAATGTATATAGTGTGAATGAGTCACAACTACTATACCAAAAATTATGACAACCACTAAATAATAAACAAGACAATAAGACAACAATAAAAGAACACCAGAATTTACGAGGTTCGGCCAATTTTGCCTACTTCTTCGG